GGTGGCAGAGCTGGGATTTGAACTCAGGTTAGCTTCAGAATTTACGTGCCTGTTATAACAAACTATCCCCCACCCCCAACTTTAGAAGTTGCTTGTTTCTGCTGCTATATATTTGTACTACATTATGAACCAGGCAGAATTTGAAGTATAAAAACTTAGCTTTCAATCCCAAATTTCCTTTCTAACCTTTTACATCTGAACCTCAGATTTTTTTTCTTATAAAACAGGAGTAATATTTATTATGCCTAGCTTACAGATTGTTGAGTAGAACAAATGAAATAATGTATGCGAAAGTGCTTTGTAAAGTGTTATGTAAAGAATTATTACTTAAGCTTTGAATGGACATGTCAGGATACAGCTTCAGCTGTGTATGATGAAAATGTTTTAAAGCAAATTAGGTCACAGCTAGATTCAAGCTATGATTCAAGCTAGCTTCAAGCTATGATTCAAACCCAGGTTCTTGGTATATAAACCCCATACTTCTAACTACACCATAGCACTCTCTCATCTGATACTCTGTCACTAAAATACTTGATAGTACACCATTGTTTTCCTATGCAGTTCCATTAAAAATAAAAATGTAAATATAAGTTATACTTCAAGATTTTCCCATAAAATGTTTCTCTGGTGGCCTAAATCAGAAATTCCTACCTCCAACTTATAAACAAAGCTGACAGAGGGCAACAGAGAAAGATAGGTCAAGCGACAAAAGCTGTAACTTGGGTAGCTAAGCAACTGGAAACGCTTGGCTGAGGAAGATTTCTTCCGCCCCTGGCAAGCTGGGGACATTCCAACAGGGCACCTTTGAGCCTCTGATGTGAAAAGCAGCTCAGATTCACATTCCCACCCCAGAAGGGCATGTTTATCAGTCTGGGAACATTCTGAGGACATTCAGGGAAGAGTAGTAACAAATTGCTTCATCTCCTACTCTCACTACTTCAGGCAACGTCTCTGCATCTTATGCTCTTATTACTTTCAGCAAAAGAGAAGGTAAACAGTAATCTAAAATAAAAACCATATAAACAATAATGTTAGCACTCTCTTATCTCTCTAGCAAATTCCTCATTAGAAGTTGAAAATTTTTTATTTTTTTAATTTTTAATTTTTTTTTTTTTTTTTTTTTTTTTGAGACAGGGTCTCACTCTGTCACCTAGGCTAGAGTGCAGTAGAGTGAACAGGGGTCACAGCAGCCTCGAACTCCCAGGCCCAAGCAGTCCTCCTGCCTCAGCTTCCTAAGTAGCTGGGAGTACAGGCACACGCCACCATGCCCAGCTAATTTTTAAATTTTTGTGTAGAGATGGGGTCTCTCTATATGTTGCCCAGGCTGGTCTTGAACTTCTGGGCTCAAGAGATATTCATGCATCGGCCTCCCAAAGTGCTAGGATTACAGATGTGAGCCACCACGCCTGGCTGGAAAATCATAAAATCAATCCAAGAAGTGCTGGCTGGGTTGTACTATGTGATTAGGCCTATGCATGTGCTTAGGGTTTCCATGAAACCCTTCAGCAGGATAAATTCAAGAATAGTTAACAGGTAAAGCCTTAGAAACCATTACACGCCAGATTTTGTGTCACCAAACATAAATACAATAAATTTAGAACACATAAGTTCCCTGAATGAAAATGAAAGATAAAAAAGAAAGAAAAAGGAACAAGAAAAAAGACATTGAAAAAGTCTGAGAACACAGAGTTTCAGAAGCCAGTTGTGGTTGAGTATATTACACTGTATCTTGAATAAAGTCATTACTACAATCCCTCTTAATAAGTATTAAAATCAACTTCTCTCTCATATAAAGTGAAAATGAAGAAAAGTGAGTACCTATGTAAGTCTAAAACAGACTTTAAATGAAGAAACAATAAATACTATACATTCATGGGTTGCATAACAATGTTTCGGTCAACAATGGACCACACATACCACTGTGGCCTATAAGATTACAACACCATATTTTTATAGTACCTTTTCTATGTTTAGATACACAAATACTTACTGTTGTGTAGAGTTGTCTAAGCAATAGGCTTTACCATGCAGCCTGGGTGTGCAGTAGGCTATGCCATCTAGGTTTAGTACACCCTGTAATGTTGCACAATGATGTATTTCTAAGAATGTATCCCCACTGTTAAACAACACATGAGTGTATATATTTCCTTGTTAGGCTGTACCTTTGCCATCCCATCGTTTCTTCATTCACTTCTTCAGCAAACATTGTTACCTATAGAAGGGTGGTGTTTGGCACTGTGGAAAGAGCTAGACCTGTAAAGATGAATAAACCGGTTCCTGCTGTCTGGGCTCAGTCTGTTCACTCAACTAGTGGTAATAACTATAATGAAGAAGATTGAAAGAAATTGCTGTCTTAGCTACAATACAAGAAGGAGCAGAGCTTAAGAAAGGTGAGGTAAGTAGAACCTCACATTCTATTTTGGCGGTCTTTGCATTGGTCCCATTTTTCCTGGGTTGGGGAATACTGTTTCTTCTGTCATGCACTACTGTCCTCTGCTGCTCCCCTTTGTCACCCCTCTCACTCTCTTTTTTCCTCCTGCAGCAAAGGGAAAAAGTCAAAGAGGCCATGAGCGGACTAGGGAAAGGGGAAACAGGAAGTTGTTCAGGTACCTTGTGTACTAGGTCTCCTTTTCTTGGGCTATGGGGAAAACCAAAGGCTGGATTCTGATCGTCTAAAAGCTAAAAGGGACCACAGAGGCCATCCTTACTATCCGTTTATAGCTGAGGACACTGAGGCTTAATAACTTACCAGGCCATGCAATTAGTGGCATTGGCAGCACTAGAACTCAGGCTTCTTGACTTCCAGAGAGTTAGAATGGAGCACTTCTAATCCTTTTTGCAGAGTAGGGTGGTAGCCAGAGAGGGAAACCCTACTACTGGCTTCACTAGCTTCTTCAGTCATTATTTTGATTATCTTCTTCACTATCAAGCAGTCCTTCATTTCTGATCCTCCAAACAATTGGACAATTTATTAATGCAGTCACCCCATAGTTCTCTGTTCAGTAGGGACTTATTTTCAGCTCTTCTCTGTCATTTCCGCTATCCTCCCCATAAGGAACAAATTAGGGTTTCTTGACATCCTTTTGAAAACGTTGCAACCCAAACTAACCGCACAGCTTCAAAGATCCGTTTGGGAGGTAAAATGATGTCTTTGTGTTCTGCTTTTCAATGCATCCTACTTTGACTTTTGGGTTTGCTCATTTGTTAGTAAATTTTCAACACCTTACTTACTTTTACCGTGTCAGTAATGACCTTGAGGAATTTATATAGTTGATCTCTTTGTAGAAGGGTGCTTTCCTGAACCTTTCCCTGTGTGAAGGCTCGCCTTTTTTCTTTGCTCTTTTTTTTTTTTTTTCATTTGTTAGCTTGTCAGTAATGACCAGGTGGCGGATACATGTCAAGAAAACTAATCACCTTCTAACAGGATTAGGACTAGAATTAACGCAGATTTTTTGCCCTCCTGTTCCCTCTTTGGCAGCCCAAGGTCCACCACTGCTCAGAGACTAGCTGGAGGGCAACTGCGCCCCACAGCATCTCACACTGTGTTGGGATCCTAGGTGGTGACCTTTGTAAGATTCAGTACCGAGTTTCTGGGAGATGGCGCTGCGGTTGTGATTAGAACTGTTGGCCGACGCACCTCTGGACGCCCAGCGAGGCAAAAGCATCTCCTGTTTTCAAGGTGATGACACTGGGCGGGAATGCCGCGGGGCCAACCAGTCGGTCCTGCCAGACAAGTTCTGGTCCGGTGAGCCTCCGAACCGTCGCGCGTTGTCGAGCTGACATGGTCGGGGTGGCCTTTGAAGGGTGCAGTGTTGAGTGCTCTCAACATTTAGCGGGCGTCTTTGAGTAGCTCCTCCAGTCCTCGCAGCGGCCCAGGGACAAGTCTGCAAGTTCTCACCGCTCACTTCCAGCCCGCGCTGGCCCCGCCTCCGCCTCCGCCTCCGCCTCCCAGCTCCTCCAGCCTCCTCCCGCCCCGCCGCTCCCACCTTTTCTCAGGCCCCCACCTGCCAGCACGCAGAGGCGGGGGCGGGGCCGCGGGCCGGGATCGTGACGTCACCTCGCGGGGAGGCGGGGCTGTGGGAACCGCAGTGCAGCGCAGAGGGGCGGGGCTTGCGGCGCGAGACCCGGTGCGGGAGGCCTGGGCAGGCAGAAGTGTGCGGGGCTGGGACCCGCCGGCTCCGAGTCCGGCTCCGAGTCCGGCTCCGGGGGGCTGGGCGGGAGGGGCTGGCGCGGCAGCGGGAGCCCAGCGCAGCGCTAAAGCGGGTCAAGTGTCCTCCTTTTCTCCCCGCCCCTTCTCCTCCTCCCACCTGGGCCTCTGCGTGGAGACGCGCACCTGGCAACCGGAGGCCGCGTCTCCGCCTTCTTGGCTCGCGCCTGGCTCCCCGAGCCTGCCCGGGACCTCCGCCGGAGCCGCGCTCGCTGCAGGCGGCCTCGAGCGCTCTCTCGTTGATGCCGTTTTGGAGGTGACCGGCGCGGCGGCCGCTCTATGGTGGGGCCGCGTTAGTGGCTGCGGCTCCGCGGGACTCCAGGGCGCGGCTGCGAGGTGGCGGGGCGCCCCGCCTGCAGAACCCCGCGCGCAGTTCGGGTTTCGGGGTGCTTGAGGAGGCCACCACGGCAGCACGGGAGCGGAAGATGTTGGAGCTGAGGTACCGAGGAAGCTGCCCCGGCCCCGGGGAAGCGGTGTCGCCGCCACCCCGTGAGGGAGAGGCGGCCGGCGGCGACCACGAAACCGAGAGCACCAGCGACAAAGTAAGTGGAGCCGCGAGAGGCGGACGCCGCGCCCTGGCTGGGTCCTGGTTGGAAGCGGGACACCTGAGAGCAAGGGTGGGGCCCGTCGAGCGTCAGGTGAGGCTGCAGGCTGCCCGTGCACCTTCCTCCCTGCCTGGCACTGCTTCCTCCTTTCCCAGAGAGGATCGGGACCCGGGATCCCAGTGGCGGTGCGGTTCCCAGGATGACCGCGGCCGCTGCCTGAGATAAATGGGTTACTCAACACGGCTTACAGTTTAGTTTCATCCCCTTCCGGTCCTTTCTTCAGGATCTGGGGCCGACGCTGGAATCAGAATGGAACCTGCCCTCCTAGGGGCTGCAGTTAGTAGCTGCCACCTCACCCCTCTTCTCAGTACAGGGAACAAAGTTAGTAAGGACTCTATAGAGACGTGCCACCGTCGTGCCACCGGCTCTATCATTTCATTGGATCCTGACGCGGGAGGCTTGGCTTCTCGCGCTATCCCATCTGCACTTTTATTTTCTCCGTCCTTTTTCAGTATGATAGATTTTGGAGGTTTGAGAGTATCATGCCCGTGACATTATAGTAATCTTCCAGCTTCTTTTGAGTACACGGCAGACAGTGCAATTCTTCTGTCTACCAGTAGATTTCATTTAACCCGACACGTTAATTCATGAAGACTTTTCACTCCCTTTTCTATAGATTACTCTTCTTTCACATTTAAGAATAAGTACACGTGATATTACCATCTGTTTAAAGCTAGAAAAGGAGTTCGGGTGTGTTTGGTAATACAGTGGTGCAAGTAAGAACTTGTGAAGAAATGCAGTTTTATGACCTTATGGACTGGATGGTTTGGGAAATTGGGCCAGAGAATAGATTGTTGTATCAAACCATCTGTTTAGAAAATTCCATTTTATTTGAGAAACCCAAAACACGTAAACTGTTTCTAGAAGCATACTTTGGAAGCAGGCGTTGCCATTTGAATTACAGAAGTGAGGTGAATTGCCCAAGGTCAAGTTCGTGCCTCTTGAAACTAGAATCTGTTTCCTGATTCCTTTTCTTCTGATTTATGTAGTTGCTGAGACTGGCTGGCAGTTCTGATTTGGGAAGGATTCCATCTGAAAGTTGATGTTGATGAAATTGATGTAACCCAAATTACAAAGCCCTAATAGGAACATATCACATGATACCGCGAAATAAACACAAACGTGATTCTTAGAAACTAAAACTTTAGAATCAATGGAGTGACACTTTTTTCCCCTTACCCTTGATAGTAAGTAGAATAAAATGAGTCTGTAATAGAACATATGTGTCAAGGAATTACCCAAAATATAGCAATTTCCAGCTACTGAAGGTTGAAGTTACAAAACTAGAAACAGTGAGCTGAGAATAGTCTTTGTGAAAACTGCCTTGGAAACTAGACCCAAAATAGAATTAATTAGGTTGGGATTTGTTTTTTGTTTTGTTTTTAGCACCGGTATAGTTTAGTATCAAGGAAATACCAGCTTCTCTATGTTGACTCCCTTAACTCGACAAAACTAACAACCTTTTATTAAGATAAAAGATGTTCAGGAAGCCATGCATAAAATACCTTTGGAATTAAGGTTTTTTTTTTTGTTGTTTTTTTGTTTTTTAACACCATAATGTATTTAAAATGGAATGGAAACTACTTCTGTGGTGTGATTTGACTCATTAGAACTGTTGTCTCTAGCTATCTGTGACTGGGTTGCCTCGCTGCATATTTATTTATTTATCAGTGCAGTACTGTTGGTTTTCATTAACACATGTCCAGCTGGATTTTGTTTTCTGAAAGTAGACTTTGCTATATGTAACCTGTTTTGTCAAGATTTCTTAGACAAGGATGAACATATTCAAACCGTATCTAAAATACTGCTCTACTTTTAGAGTTTATCACAAGGAACTTTTGACTTGGCAAGCTTATAGATGTTGAACTCTATCCCTGTCTGTCCCTTCTTATCAGGGTGTGTATTTGAATACACCTATATTTCCAGGTCAAGGGCTATTTTAAAATCAGTTTGCACACTGGAGGCTGGTTAATATTTGGTCAATTCAAACTCATTAAGGGCCTTCTCTATTCTGTTGCAGTAAAGGCAAAACTCTTGGGGAATTAGTGAAAGAAGTGAAGGAGGTACATTATATTCTGCTATTATAATACACTCCCATGCATTGCCATTTTGTAGTCTTTTAATAATGGTGTTATTATTAACATGACACTCCCTTTGTTCGGACTGGTGACTTGTGCTGAGGGAAGGCTCTGTACTCCAGATAATTAGCAAGTGAAAAAAATACTTTTTACCTGCAGGGGAATGTTCCCAAGTGTTAAATGTTGGAGTGGTACTTGAAAAATGACAAGGGACCCCTTCAAGGCACCCCGCAGGAGACATATATGAGTTAGATTTATTAGAAGTATGTACAAGGTTCATTGTTAGCATAGAGGGCATGGCCTCTACCTGGAGACTGCCGGAAAAGCTCTAAACAGTAGGTGAGGATTGAACTGGAAGTGAAAAGATTCCTGGCACTCACCAGGTTTACAAGGATTTGGGTTGGGTATTCTAGGCAAAGGACATGTTGGGTTTTTTCTTGAATCAGCATTCTAGGCAGAGGGTTGGAGATACAGAGGAAGAGATAATGAAGGTCCTGAGAGCAAAAGGAGGAGGCATTGCTTAGAGCAGTGGTCCCTAACCTTTTTGGCACCAGGGATCAGTTTTGTGGAAGACACTTTTCCACGGATGGGTTCGGGGGGATGGTTTCAGGATGATTCAAATACATTACATTTATTGTGCACTTTATTTCTATTATTATTGCATTGTAATATATAATGAAATAATTATACAACTAGCCATAATATAGAATCTGTGGGAGCCCTGAGCTTGTTATCCTGCAACTATACAGTCCCACCTGGGGGTGATGGGAGACAGTGACAGATCAGCAGGCATTAGATTCTCATAAGGAGCATGCAGCCTAGATTCCTTGCATGTGCAGTTCACAACAGGGTTCAGGCTTCTGTGAGGATCTAATGCTGCTGTTGATCTGACAGGAGGCAGCGCTCAGGTGGTAATTTGAGTGATGGGGTGTGGCTGTAAATACAGAGGAAGCTTCGCTCACAGGCCACCCTCCTCCTGCTGTGCAGCCGGGTTCCCAACAGGTCCAGCACCTAACAGGCCGGTACTGATCTGTGGCCTGGGGGTTCGGGACCCCTGGCTTAGAAGACATCATCAGTAGTACTTAAGAATAAGGGCTGAGACAGAACATGGAGTTTAGCAAAAGGTCTAAGTAGAAGCAGGTTTAGGTTGAGGAAATTGAGAGGTGAAATGTTGGTAGTTATTATTATAAAGTGGCAGTGAAAGGAATACAGGATGGCAGCTAGAGAGACAAGAGGATTAATGAAGATTTTTCTTTTCAGAGGAGGGGAGATATATATTTGTATGAAAGTCAAATGAGTAAAGATGTTGAAGACAATGGGTAAGCCCTAGGAAAAAGAAAGCAAACATGGGGTAGAGACTGTGGATTATTGAGATATCCAAGGAAAGGAAAGAGGGATGCATGACCCTTCCTTAAGAAAAGAAAGACGGAATGAAGGGTGGATACAGGAACATTTTGAAAAGCAGAAAGGAGAAGATCAAGTGTTCGATGCCTTCAGTTAGTAAGGTAGGAACTCAGAACCAATGAGCTTCAAGGGATCTTAGAAACAACTTGGTTTAACTCAGTTCGTATATATTTGTATATATTTATATATAGTTTGGTATATATACAATTATAAACAATAAATTTGTGTTCAGTTGAATCTTCACTGAGTTTGATAATTCTGTATAGTACTATAATAGTTACCTTTTGGTCATTTCCTATCACATTTCCCAAAAATGACAGTTCAAATGTGTTCCAGTCGCATTTGGTGTTGTGTGACTGTGTGTTAGGAATATCCCCATTTAATAGCTGAGAAGAAGAAAAACAATGGGAGTGACTTAGGCCTGGGGAGTGCCAGAGGTCCTGTGAATGACCACAGATTCAGCTTGGCAGGGAAGTGGGCTGGTGAAGATCTGATGGGTTGAGTGGGAATGAGCATTGAAAGGGAAAGAGCTAAGACCTGACTTACGTAGAGACCAAGGGAGAACTTCCCCTCCGCCCTCTGAAGACTTGCCAGAAAAAACTGACAACAGGTAGATTAATCGGAGAAATGGCATACAAATTTATTAATGTGTGGGATGGGAGGAGGGAGACAGAGTGATTACCTGAACCCCAGAAGGAGGCACAGAAGCTCGTATACCATCTTGAGGCAAAGGTGGTCCTGTCATGTAGATGAAACCTCATAGGGAGCAGCCCTCAGATAGAATAGATGGTGAATATTTCTTTCAGACCTTTAAAGGTGTCAGACTCTCAGTTAATCTTTCCTAGATCCAGACAAGAGAGAACCTCAGAGAAGGCCAGGTTGCATCAATGCAGATTTTCTCTACAGATGCAAATCTCCCTCACAACAGACGGCTTTGCAGGGCTATTTGTTTGCAGGCCCTCAGAACAGCCATCTCAAAATATGTCAAAGAAGTATAATTTGGGGTGAAATATTCTGATTTCCTTCACTTGCTAGACCCTGAAGTGGGAGAAAAGAGGGTGCACATTGAAGCTGTGGGCAGTCAAGGGGAGCACACGTGGAATAGTGTGCTTTCAGGTGAGGTCCCTGTGTGTTTGTGCATGGGGCTGCTACTTAGAGATTTTGATTTGTGAAGTTGAGGGGAAAGCAATCCAGAGATCATTTAACTTCTGTCCTCCATTTGAGATGTGTGCAGCTTCTTTCATAAATACATTATTATTTTCAAATAAACTTTTAATTTTGGAACAACTTTGATTTATGTAACCACCCCACAGGTTCTTCTTGCTTGCTGCCCAGATAGAACTGGTTTATCAACACAGGAGAATTGCAATAGAGAAAAATAGTTTAATGCACACAGAACTGGCTAAACAGGAGGCCGGAGTTTTATTACTCAAATTAACCTCCCTAAAAATTTGGAGGCTAGGCTTTTTAAAAGAGAGTTTGGTGTGCAGCAGTTAGAGAATGGGTGCTGCTGACTGGTTGGGGAGGCAAATTACAGGGGTATGGAAAACGGTCCTTGTATGCTGAGTGCACTTCTGGGTAGGGGGCCACAGGAGTTGCTGGTTTGGCGGACTTACCCAGTCATCAGAAATATAAAAATCTGAAAGTAGTCTGTCTTTTAAAAGGCCAATCTTAGCTTATTTAATAGTGATATTATGTATAGAAGGAATTGTAGAAGTTGCAAATCTTGTGATTTCCAGAGTAGTGGCTGGTAATTGTTTACATGTAATCACAGCAAAATTCAGTCCCCTCTCATGATCCTAAACTTGTGACCTGTTATTAGTTTTATAAAGGCAGTTTAGTTTAGGGAAGAGCTATTACCATTTAACCTATAAACTAAATTTCTTCCAAAGGTAGCTTGGTCCTCACTTGGGAATGACTATGGGCATCTTGAAGGTTAAAGGCAAGATAGAGTAGGTTAGGTCAGATTTTTTTTCACTGTTACAGTTTTTGTAAAGATGGTTGGTTTCATTTACAGAAGCATTACAAAGGTTTCTGTGTACTTTTCACCAACTTTCCCCTAAGGTTTGTATCTTGCATAACCGTGGTACATTGGTCAAAACTTAAGAAATTAACATAGCTATAATATCATCTTAGACTGCAGATACTATTCGGAAATTCACTGGTTGTTCCACTGTCCATTTACTGCCCTGGAATACAATCCGGGATTCAGCACTGCATTTTGTCTACTTTATTTTGTTTTTGTAAAAGCCTTAGTGTGTTTTTGTAAATTACTTTTTCATTTTGGTGCACTTCACTATAGGTTGTGCTAATGTCACCTGTAAGTGTAATGAACATTTTCTATAGTTTTTCATCTAGATCTAAGCCATTAATAAAATATTATGGCTTAGATCTAGATTTCGGACTACCATTTGGGCTGATACTCCCTAACTGTTGATGAATTATCAGTCAGTATTACCACCTAAGTAAGTTTCCATGATTCAGCTTTTATCATGCACAGCATATTCATTTCATTTAATAACATTTAAAAAAAAATGCTGGCTTCCAAAATATCAGCAACCCAGCCAAGTGATAAGACAGAGCTAGGTTTTTAGCTTACTGCAGTGAGGAACACTTCCACGGAGCCTTGGTAGTATTTCAGAGGGGGAGAAGCAAGGTGTAACTTATTTGAGAATTGGAAGTTTGATTTAAGGCAGGTCTTTTATTTTTTATTTTATTTTATTTTTTTTTAGACGGAGTCTCGCTCTGTCGCCCAGGCTGGAGTGCAGTGGCGTGATCTCAGCTCACTGCAAGCTCTGCCTCCCGGGTCATGCCATTCTCCTGCCTCAGCCTCCCAAGTAGCTGGGACTACAGGCGCCTGCCACCATGCCTGGCTAATTTTTTTGTATTTTTAGTAGAGATGGAGTTTCACCACGTTAGCCAGGATGATCTCAATCTCCTGACCTTGTGATCTGCCCGCCTCGGCCTCCCAAAGTGCTGGGATTACAGGCGTGAGCCACCGCACCTGGCCTAAGACAGGTCTTTCAATGTGGGGAATTGATTAGGTTTGGGTAAGGGTCACAATATAACAGTTTGGGATTGGTGGATAAGCCAGATAAGGATTTTGAGGCAAAAGTTTTCAAAGAGTCTTAGGACTAAACTGTTCGCTGATGCTTCCTTTCAAAGAGTTGATGTGTCTTTTAGAAATTCTTGTAAATAACATGAACTTCTAGCAAGAGTTTCCTGGAATACTCAAGTTATACTAACGAAAGAGTGAATCTAAAGGCATGGTAATGTAATAGTAAGCTATGTGCAGGTTAGGAACGGTAGTTAACTTGAGATTTCTAAAGAATATCTGAGGGTTACCACATGAATTTTCACTTGCTGTTTATGATCTTTAAACAATTCATTTTCTTGTTATTTTGAGAGAAATTACCATAGAATGTCATCAACTACATCAAGCTTTGGATGTATACCACAGTGGGTTTTTTTGATGCTGTCATGCTGAGGAAAAAGCTGAGGTGCAACATAGAATTTAAAGACAATACCTGAGCCAACTTTAAAGACTTCACTTGAGCCAAAGTGAGTACACTGCCTGGGACATACTTCCAAGTTGCCTGGGTGAGTGCCTTGGTTGGCCTTTCTTATAAGCAAGTTTTTAAAGGCAAAAGGGAGCAAAGAATGGGCTGGTACAAAGTTGTTTGACAGGAATTCTCATTGCCTTACAGAGATAATATTGATAAGTGATTGGCTATTCAGTTTTAAAACGTAAGGTGTGAGTTACAGTGTCTAGTATATGGTATTTTATGGCTACTTGGTATCAGTCCAGAGCCAACATAATAAGTGGCTATGTTGTTTAGCTCAAACGGTGAGAGACATGACTGCTGACATGTTTTAAACGCTTCTCTGGGCTTGATAATTTAATGAGACTCGTATTCTTCAAAATAAAAGTTTCTTTTCCCTTTTAATGCGAACAATAGTTTGTCAAAATATACTGGGGAAAAGTGGGACAATTTAATGTGCTCTGGAAAATTATGAAGAAAAATTAAGATTGTATACACGTAGTATGAGTATTCTTTTTGTGTTTATGAATTTCATTTTTGTAAAACAGGCTGTCACGTTTCTTCCCAGATAACACAGATAAATACAGGGGTTTGGTGTGTTTGTTTTCCTTTAACCATTCTATATTTGGGGATGTCTTTTCCAAAAATACAGATTTTAGTTCAGTGTAAAGAACATAGGTCATTTAGGGAATTATAAACATATTTTTTA